TCGCGAGCACGACACAGGGCGGGGGGGGAAAAACGAGGGGTGGGGTGGGGGAGAAAAACCTGCGACGAAAACAAGGCAGAGTGGGGCTGCTGCTGGGATAATGTTAATAATTGGTGCGGGGAGGGGGGACATCCAGGGGAAGGAGCCGCTGTTTGTGAGTAATTCTCTGGGTGCTGTGTACACACAGATGCCTTATCGCTGAGGGATGAAAAACAGCAGCTGAGATGGTACTGCAGATACATTTTAAGCACCCGAACGAAGGGCTGGGGAGGGGGGATGTGATGTGAAGGGCTGTGATGTGGTGAGGGTGGATCTCTGGGCTGGTGCTGATCCTTGGATGGTTAGATTTAGGGACAGGAGCAGGATTTAGGGGATAATCCCCTCCCCCCCCTCCGGAGAGGGACTGCGGGTGCAGGCGGCCCCTGGTGTGATGAAATGGTGGTTCGAGGGAAAACCCCCTGTCCCTGGGACTGTGGGGATGAGCTCTGTGCTTTGCTTTAGGCCTGTAGGCAGGTGAGGATGATGATGCCGTGGGTATTGGGGGATATTGCTGCTTGCAGAACGATGCCTGCACCTGAGGAAAAAGGGCTGGAGCTCTCCCTGCCCACCCTGGCAGGGTCAAGCCTTTGGAGAGGCTGGTTCACACGGGAACACTCACACCTTCTCTCCCACCGGGTCCTATCCCACGGAATGGGGATTGAGCTGGGTTGGTTCTGTGCCTCACCTCCCTGCAGTGCCCCCCCATCCCTCGGGGGCCGATCTGGCCGGGGGAGGGGCCTGGAGGCGGCAGAGCCGCAGCTGGAAGGGGGAAGGCTGCGCTGGAGCAGCTCGGCAGATGCAAAAGTTCCCTCGTAATCCCGAGGCCATCCCGGGCCAACTCTGCCGCGGCTCCTGCTGCTGCCAGGAACGTCCTTCCTTGCCTCCCGAGCCAACCCCGGGGCCGTCAGACAGCACAGAGTGATTTATCTCGGGGGGTTCCCTGGAGAGCCACAGAGCCAGACTCTGCCTTCACCTGTTCCTCTTCTCAAGCAGCCTGGCTCCAAAAGAATTCAGGCTTCCAGACAAGCCCTCCCTGGGGGAAAGTGGGAAATGCTGGGATAGGAATGATCCTCACCCCCCTGCCAAAGCTGCAGAGCTCCCACTGGTGCCCCCTGAGCCCGACCTGTGCTCTGAGGGTCTGGGAAGAGGAGCCCAAACCTGGAAGAAGGGATCCAGGTGTCCTCAGATGCCTTGGGAAGGAGGGAGCTCTCTCCACAGGGATGCATCCCACAATTTTTAATTGCTTAGTGAGCACTGTAGTCATGCAAAGGAGGGGGGATGTTTGGGGGCCTTTCTGCCTCCCGATCTCTTTATTTTCCAGGACTTTTTCCTGGTCCTGAGGTAAGGTCATGTGTTCTTCCAGTTTTGCTGTGTCAGCCTGAGGGCTGTGAATCCCCTCTTTATTTAACTTAGCTGGAAGTTGACATCCCACTGCATTCTCATGACTCCAGGACCTGGGGCTTTAACAAAAATGTTAAATATTAGAAGCCTCTCTGTAATTTTGCAGCATTTTTGGAGGGGATGGGGACTGCAGGCACTTGTTCTGGCCCTTAAACCCCAGTTTGTTTGTGGAGCAGGGCCGACACATTCAAACCCTCTCCCCTTTCCTGCCGCCGGTGTTTCTTTCCTCGCTCTCTCCCATCCGCACTGTGGGAAAATCCGGCTCCAGAGCTGAACCCTGAGGCTCTTCCCTTCCTCCCCTCTCGCTTAAACCCACTCCTTGTTCCCCAGCTCAGCCCCACAGCCATCCCTCCCGGTCCTGGGGTCCCTCAGCTCCCACCCGAGCCCCCCTGGCTGAGTCAGCCCGGTGGGAGCGGGGGGGTTGGGGGGGGGCGCTGCTTTTCCCGGTGTGCCGAGAAAGGGATAAAGAAAGACCACCATCTGCTGCTAAATCCCTGTACTGCAAACACCTCCTCCCGCAGCCCCCGGGGACCTCTCTGCTCTCCCAAAGCCACAAAGCACGAAGACACCGGCGAGGAGAAGCCTCGGGCAAAAATGGCAAAAGGGGAAATAGTATAAGGCACGAAGAGAAAAAAAAACAGGCCAAGGAGTTTCTGTTTCCCTGGAAAAACCCTCTTCTGAGAATGCTCAGGGTTTCTGGATCTCTCCTGTGTCATGTTTTCTTCCCTCTTCCTATCACCCTCATCCCTGTGGCTCTTTTCTCCTCATCATCCTGTTTTTCAGGGAATGGAAAAATAGGAAAACATGGGCTGTTCCCAAAAATCCCTGGAGGGGGAGTGTGATGTCAAGCTCTTGCTGCCCCAAGACCACAGACCAGCATAGGGAGCAAAAGGGGGATGTTTTTGGCAGGGATCTGTAGGATCCGTGGGGATCTGTTGGTAAGTCTGGCTTGTGTGGTTTCCTGGAGTGTGGGCAGGAAAAGGTGCTGCAGTTGGGAAGCCTGACAGAGTTCAAGGAGTGTTTGGATAATGCTCTCAGGGACAGGGAGGGATTGTTGGGGTATCTGTGCAGGGCCAGGGGTTGGACTGGATGATCCTTGTGGGTCCCTTCCAGCTCAGGATATCCCAGGATTCCATGAAGTGGTGGTGGGAGCTGGCAAAGCAGGAAGGAGACCTGAGCTCCAGGCACTTCCAGGCACACCTGTTGGGAAGCACCACCCCAGTGTGACCGTGTCCCCCACCCTCGGGGCTTTGCAGGGGCCCCAACATGTCCCAGAACACAGAGAGGCTCTGGAAAAGTACATTTGGTGACACATTCCCACTGGCTGCATCCTGCCGGGATTTAGAGCTCATTTATTGTCCCCTCAGGGTGGGGTAAGGGCTCTCCCTTGACCCCCGAAGCCAAACACAATCCAGACCCCCCCTCTGAGGTTCAGTTGTGTTCTGTGCCGTGCTTGAGGTGATCCCTTCATCCTTGAGCTTTCCAGCCCATGACCTGGCCTGAATTGGAGCCATTCGCAGGGTGGGGAATTGCAGTTGTTCCCCTTAGTGGGTTAAACCTTTCCTCCTTAAAACAAAGCCAAATTGGTGAGTGCTGCTTGAGTAGTGTTAAGGCACAATTGGACTATGGTGGTTGTTTTCTTTTATGGAAAATCTGGGCAATTTAAAACATTTTTACGTTTAAATTTAATTTTAATTTTTACATTTTAATTTTTCTTTTAATGTTTAAATTGCCCAGGAAGCAGAAGCATCCTTGCTCAGTGCTAAAATAGCAAGGGGGCTGCTGCTCTAAATCCTGGCAGGATGCAGCCAGTGGAAATAGGGCACCAAATACATTTTTCCAGAGCCTCTCTATGTTCCAGGACACGTTGGGGTCCCTGCAAAGCCCCGGGGGTGGGGGACATGGTCACACTTAGGTGCTGCAGGTTTCCCTGGGCAGGGTGTCTGCCCACCCTCTGCCTCTCCCCCTTCACTCCCCAGGGATTTACAGCTCCGCGCTGACTCGGATTCCCACTTTTCCTCTTGCCAGGGGCTCCGAGCCTCTCACAGCCTGTTCCTCCCCTGGGCTGCTCCGGGTGGTTCCCATTAGCACCCCTGCACAGCCCAGGGTGGCGGGGAAGGTGTCTGGGCTCCATCCAAGAGGCGTCAGGGCTGCTCCGGCCGCTCCTAACGCGGGACATGGGAGGGTTTGATCTGCCAATTAGCCCCGGCCGGGGCCGCTAACGGGAAGCAGATGGAGCTGCGTGTTATCAGAGGGGAAAATCTGCCACTTCCTAGTGAGAACCTGGCTCAGCCTCCCAGCCGGCTCCCGGCTCCGAGGATGGACAGCCCAGAGCTTTGGGATGCGCTGGGGACTGCTGAGAGCCAGGCTGCACACGGGAATGGGACTGAAGCCCTACCAGAGTGCTCCAAACCTGTTGCCTGTCTTTATTGGGATCATGCAGAGCCCCTGTGTCCTCCCCAGGCCCCTTTCCCCATCCTGGCAGAGGACAGAGAGCTCCATGGGCATCCAAACAGGGATGCTGGAGCAGGAACATGACCGGGGGTCTGCTCTGGAAGGCCCCGTCTATCCCAAACACTCACCGAAGTGTTTATCAGCTTCAAAAAGCCAACGTTTAAATAGCATTAGGAGACTGATTTAGAGTCACAAAAGCCATGAAATTCAGAGTCAAGGCTCAAAAATCCACTTGACACTCCGGCCTTGAGGCATAAAAGGCGTGAGCCGAAGCAGTGGCTGGGACGGACGCTCAGCTCCAGGGCTGTGGCTCCCTGGATCTCCTGGCTGCCTGTAAAGGGGGTGAGAGCCCTTAATGGGATTTAAATGAGAGACTGGGACAGGCTGGGAATGTTTGGGAATACCATTTGGAGGAGATTTGAAGAGGGGGCTTATCCTAAGCTGGGGGCCAGGAGGAGACTTGGCTGGACAGGATGTTGCTGTGGTCCCACCCAGATGATCTCCAGGGGTTTGGAGCCCATCCTTGCAGTCAGAGTGTGTCCAGTCCTTTCCCCACTGGTGTGAGATTGGGGGTTTTCCTCCCTGCTGTGGAACTGGGGCATTTTTGGTGAGCTGGGCTCCTGTGTGCCCTCCCAGTCAGCAGCACCAGAATGCTCTGGAGTGTCATGGATGAGGACAAGGAGGAATGGCTTTAAAATGAAAGAGGGCAGGGTTAGATGGGATATTAGGAAGAAATTCTTCCTTGTGAGGGTGGGGAGGCCCTGGCACAGGTTGCCCAGAGAAGCTGTGGCTGCCCCATCTCTGGAAGTGTCCAAGGCCAGGTTGGACAGGGCTTGGAGCAGCCTGGGCTGGTGGAAGGTGTCCCTGCCTATGGCAGGGGCTGGAATGGGCTTTAAGGTCCCTTCCAACCCAAACCATTCTGGGATTCTGAATGAAGCACTTACTTATTGTTTCTGCCTCTTTCTCCCCACACAAGTCTTAGAATGTCTTGGTTTTAGCAGAAAATACAATAGTGGGTTGGTTTTATTTAAAGGTCCCAAGTGCCCATTTGGTTTCACTCTTTATTTGGCAACAATCTGAAGAAATAATCCACGAAACAACATAAAGAGGCTTGTAATCTCTTTTATTGCACATTTTTCTAGCTGAACCAGGATCCACAGGAATTACTGCCACTCCTCCCTGACCTGTACCCTGAGCCCCAGCCCAGGCACGGACTGATATCAATACTGAGATCAATACCTAGTGCTTATTACAACAGCCTTAACAGGGTTATCCACTTTATCTGCAAATCCTGCTAATTGAGCAGTTATTAATTGTAGGTGTTAGAAACAAACACATCTATAAATTAGAACTGATCCTGGGAGGACTCAAGGCCTCGTGTCTCAGATCCCTTTTCCTGTTTATGTTGCAGGTCCCACCGCTGAGTCCTGGCTGATGGAGCAACTGGAGGCCACAAAGGTCAGAACTAATTAAATTTCTGATTTAACTCCTGAACTCAGCAGCTGGCAGAGCCTCAGAGATGGGGCTGTGTCAGAGAGCAGCTCCTCGGGATGGGAGTGGGGTCCTGGACCTCTCATTGCTGTCCCAGCATCTCCTGCTCCTACTTAAATTCCTCCTAGGGGTGGTGGGGACAGTACATCCACCAGAGCAGCTTGTGCAGGAACATTCCCATGATTGAAACATCTCTGAAGATCTTTCCTTCCAGTGCACACACAAGGATCAGAGCAGTGGGAGCAACCAACAACTTATGGGGATACTGGAGACAGTGTTCCCAGGCCTTGACAGCCAGTAATAAAACAAGGGGACCAAGGAGAGTGTTGCTGCTCCTCTGCCCCATGTCTGAGCCCACCCTGAGCTCAGACCCTGACAGGTCTCGTGCAGGCAGTGCCCACTGAGGGCTTTGGAGGGATGGAATAAGGCACTTAAACTTATTTCCAAGCAGCACCACAGCTGCCCTCTCCTGGCACAACCTGCCTGCTCCCTTCCTGCTTCCCAAATATTTTGAGGGATGGGAGGCTTTGCTCTTGCTGAGGAATGGGGAGAAAACACGACTCAGGGCTCCCACCACACTGATCTGGAGTTTAAAACAAGCCTGGCTTCCCACACCACCTGGGAAGGCTGGTACAGGCAGACCTCAACATCCAGGGATTCCTGCTGGAGGGGGTAAAGGAGGCCTTGGGGACAAAGTGAGGGACATTGCTTTGTACCAGTGACAGGGAAAGGGCCAACCTCTTAATGCTCGTCTCGTGCTCTAATTCCCTCTCAGCCCAGCTGAGAAGGAATTGTGCTGGACTGCTGGGGACGGAAAAAATGGCAGGAAAAGAGAACTGGAGTCCAGGTTTGCCTCTGCAACCACCCCTTAATTAATTAACTAAGCACGCTCACATACAGTCACTTAGGTTGGAAAAGACCTTTAAGATCATCAACCCAACACTGCCACGTTCACCACGAAACCACATCCCACACAACTAAGGAAACCATAAGGCCTTTTGAGTCCACAACCTAATAACAGATCATTTCTGTTGTTTAGAAAGAAAACCTAAGCTGGTCAGGTTAGAGCTCAGTAATTTAAGTGCTCTGTGAGGCTGCAGCTGTGGTTGGGGCTCAGCAGTGCCAGGGCAGGGCTAGGGGCCCCAGGGCATCACTGCATGTAGGAGTAACGCCAGTCCCGCAGGGGCACGTGGGTCTCCTTGACGGCCTGGGGGGACGTCCAGCGCAGGATGTAGTGGGGACCCCCAGGTTTGTCATTGGTGCCTGTTTGGGGAGGGAACAAAGCACTGCTGACCACGAGCACGAGGAAGGACACGCCTGGAGGGACTGACGCCTTAAAATGTGTAGTCTATAAGATTTAAGGATAGCTCATTAGTACTTTTAGCTTGCTAAGTACCTTTGTACAAGATTCCTGAAATGCTGGTAAACGTTCTTTGTTAAGAATTTTAACAAACGAGGGATTTTAATGAGGTGAAGAGTTTTCTATCTGTACAAATGTACTGAGAAAGAGACATAACACCTGACACGACCAAAGCTATTCAGAGGCTTGGAAACTGCTCCAGAAGGCAAGATACTGTGCCAAAGACCAAGAAAGAAGATGAGGAAGATGAAGACAAGGTATCTTTGGGACCTTCGCCTCAAATTCGGGAGGCATGTCAAGGGTGGTACTAAGGGAGGGGCGGTTTTGGAAGGGGGTGTAACAGTATCAGGTAATGCTTTGAATTGTTAGTTAGGGAACTAAATGAAAGCAAGAGGCTTTTGTAACTCTGCAACCACGCTTTGGAAGAAATCAGATTCTCGTGCATCCAGGGTCGTAATGATCAAACCTGCCTTCTAAAACCCCCAGATGGAGTCTCAGGGGGTTTCTTTTAGAGCTGATTTTAGGCACCGGGACAGGCAGCTCAGCAGGGCCGTGCAGGGAATCTCCAGGCAGGGCTTTGGGTCTCACCTGAGATTCGGGAGCCTCCGAAGGGCTGCTGGGCCACCACGGCGCCCGTGGACTTGTCATTGATGTAGAAGTTTCCGGCGGCGTTGCGCAGGAGGCTCCGGGACTCCTCAATGATCCTCCTGGGGAGGGACAGACAAGGCTGCCACAGCAACAGCAAATGCCTCTGGGGGGGCCTCTGCTCCCCTGGAGCCATTAAAACTGGGCAAAAGGCATCTTTGTGTTTCTTTGTGAACGTTTCCAGGGCTGCATGTTGTCTAACACACACTGAAACAGCTCCTGGCTACTGAAATTATCCCTGTTCCTTAGTTTGTTTCTCCTTCTAAGTTTTATGGCGATAAAATGAAGGTAATTAATTATCTCTCACTGCCCAGAGAAGCTGTGGCTGCCCCATCTCTGGAAGGGTCCAAGGCCAGGTTGGATGGGGCTTGGAGCAACCTGGGCTAGTGGAAGGTGTCCCTGCCCATGGCAGGGGTGGGATGAGATGGGCTTTAAGGTCCCTTCCAACCCAAAGCATTCCATGATTTTATGATAATTTATGGATGGTCTCTCTTTGAGGTAATACTGCTCTTAGCCCTCCTCTGGCTTGAGGGGAGCTGTGGGTGCACCCTCCCATATGCTCCAAATGTTCCTTTGGGATAGTTTCTTACTGAAAAAAATCATTTTGGGATGAAAAACCACTTTAAAGCTGCCCCCTTCCCTCCTTGACGGGAGGAGGGCTAAGAGCAGCACAAGCATCATGGGAAATGCTTGCTGTCCTCCTTTGGAGAGAGGGAAGATCCGTGGCTTGCCCCAGCAGGGAACAGGCAGAGGGATTTTGGGATTTTGGGAATTTGGCACTCACTTCTCCTGGGCGAAGAGCGCCCCCGTGAGGCCGTAAGGCGTCGTGGTATCGATGAGCTCCAGCACCTCCCGGTAGCGCTGCTCGGGGTACACGAACACCGTCAGGATCGGCCCGAAAATCTCCTGTGCAGCCCAACACAAACACCCTCAGTGGGGACAGCCTCCGAAAATCTCCTGTGCAGCCCAACAAAAACACCCTCAATGGGGACAGCTGCCCAAAACAAGCAGTGGGTGCTCCACCACCCCCTGAGTTAAACTGTGATGAAGAGGAATGTCCCTGAAGCAACTTCCCACAGAGCCCTGGGCAGCTCATCACACATCTCACAGGGATTTTGGGATGGGGACCAACGGCCCCTCTCCTGCCCCCTCCCCAAAGGTGCTCTCACCTCTTTCATGATGGGATCCTGGGGGTCTTTGCTCTCCACGATGCACGGCTCCACAAAGTAGCCCACGCTGTCATCGCAGCCGCCCCCGGCCAGGATGGTGAGGTTGGAGGAGTTCTTAGCGTGCTCCAGCCACTTCTTGATCCGCGCAAAGGACTTGGGAAAAGGGAAGAATAAAAAAGGGGGTGGGTTTGGGGGTCTAAAAGATGTTTGGGTAAATCCTTTCAGGGATATGCTGCTCTTAGTGCTCTTCCAGCTTAGGAGGAGTGGGAGACGGAAATACAGTCCTGAGTGCTCTGAACCTCACACTCAACAGAACTTCTGAGCGAAATAACCCACTTTACAAGAGGAGCAGTGACTAAGACATGCAACACAGCTGATAATCAGCTCTAACTTACTACCGATGTTCCTATTTTGCTGTAAGTAAAAACCTTGTAACCTCACACTTCTGAGAGCCAGGTAGTGTTACTTTCTTGCACCAGGAGAAGTGAACTCACCTTGTCATCGATCACGGCAGAGAAGAACGTCCCAAAGTCCTGGGCAGGCTGTGGGAAGGTAGAAAGGAGGTGATGCAAATACACACTGTGCCAAAAAGTTAACTCTGAAATGAGAAGGAGCTGAAATTCCCCAAATAACACTTTCCTCTGCTCCAAACACACCTCTGCTCAAGCTCCCCTTTTCAATTAGTCTGCAGGACTCACCACTTTCACAATCCTTCCTGCAGACTCTGGCTACAAGTTAATTTCTAATCACTAAAAAAAAAGCTGAAGGGGGGCACGGAGGGGCTGTGGTGGGGAGAAGCAGCGGATAAAAAGCCGGTTCAATGGGAATTAGTAGCCAGTTACCGCAGTCTCTAATCCCATCAACCACCCGCTGAGCCGCAAAGCCCTTCAGCTTCCCGGCAGCTCCGCTCACATCTCCCACTTTGATCTTCCCGTGCTCCTCCAGCAGCTTCTCTTTGATCTGGGGCCACAGCGAGTCGGGGGCGTAGAGGCGGGAGCAGGCCGAGCACTTCTGGCCGCCGTACTCGAAGGCCGAGCGCAGGGTCCCGTTCACCACACTGCCCACGTCGGCCGAGCTGTGCACCACGTGGAAGTTCTTCCCGCCGCACTCTGGGCACCGAGAAGGGAGCAAAAGGGGAGAGGGAGGAGTCGTCAGGGGTGTGACAGCTCCAAGAAGCACCAGGACTCTTGTGCTCACCCTGCCTGGTCCACGGTTCCTCAGGGAACAGGGAGTGCCACGATCCCCAGAGCACAGCCCAGAGCTCATGGAGCTGGAACAGGCTTAGAAAACTATTGGAAAAAGCACCAACCCAAGCTCCCAAACTTTGCACGGAGGCTGTGCAGCCCCAGAGCACCACCGTCCCCCACCCAAGTGCCAGCTCCACACCATTAAAGCCCATCCTTTGTTGGTGCCATAACTCCTCTAAATATCCAGAAATTTACTGTGTCCTCTGCTCCCAAGGAGAGGAATCCTGACCCTCACTTTAGTTTCTCCCCAAGTAGAGGAGAAACTGGACCCCCCCATCCCTGCATGGCCTCCTCTAAAACGGTGGAAGAACTGGCAGTTACCTCCAGCCAGGCGTGGGAAATTGCGGTAGCGATCCAGGTTTTGGGACACCTGCTTCCAGAGCCGCTTGAAAGTCCTGGAAGAGGAAGGAGGAGCTGGTTAGTGCACTTTTGCCTTTGCACACAGGGATGGCACTCGGAAAAGCCCCTGATGAAGGGCCACCCGCAAAAGAAGGGATGCCCTGCAAGAGGAAGAGATGTTGGGAATGAAACTGCAAATATCAAAGCAAAGGCTCTACACAACAACTCCATAGTTTTAAAAATAAACTGTTGCAGTGTCACAGGGAAAAGCATCTGGCAGAAGTTTCTTTTCCTCCCCTTTCCCCCCTTCCTTTTGGTCCTTACTGTGACAAACCTCTTGGCTGGAAAACAATAAAAATGCAAATGACCTCCCATCAGGAGGCATAGCCACTAATACTAATCTATGAGCTTCCCACCTTTCCAGCCCCATGCTCATCTGAGCATGTCCTTGCTGGGGGAGGGGGATCCCTGGATTTAACAGCCCGTGGAGACTGCCAGGGCCCTCAGCATCACCAGCTCAGCATCACTGACACCCCATGGCACTTGGCCAGAGCCCAGGGCTGCAAATCCACCCTGAGCAGCACCGTTTGTTGAGCCAAGTCACAGCATCAAGTCTGGCTATTCCTGTGCCTTGAGTGACAAGAAAACCCGGTTTAGACACTTTTTTCACCTGTTTGAAACCCTATTTTAATTCTAGCATATAATAATGGAGAGTTATCTGTGTCTGCCCTACTCAAACCTGCTCTGTGACTTCAAAGGACTGCCAAAGGAGCACCCAGCCCCTCTCCCCCTGCCACCCCCCTTCCCAACCTACGGCACACTCCCAGTGAAGTTGAGCCCACAGAAGTGCTCGGAGCTGGTGACAGTGTCCCCAAACTCGGGCCCATCCGCCGGCACAAACTGCACCACGTTGGGGGGCAGCCCGGCCTCCAGGAGGATCTTGTACACAGCGTAGCTGGAGAGCAGGGCAGTGTCACTGGGCTTCCACAGCACCACGTTTCCCTGGGGACAGGATAACAACAGCCATGAGAAATGCTTCAATACCATGGAACACGCCTGTCCCGCAGCGGGTGAGACAGAGCGAGGGCACCTTTGGGTCACTCACAACCACCTCTACCACATCACTGGTTTTGGAAAGGACTGTGACCACCCTGGTCAGCTGAAGGCACAAAACTCCCCTTCATGCCACCGGCTTGCTGTGCCAGCCTTCCACACCCTCCCTGCCCAGGGATGAGTTTTGCCTTCCCTAAGAGGAGCTGGAAACACAGACCTGGTTTATGTCTCAGGAAAAGGGACAACGCTGCCAAGAAATGTGCTATGATGTCACCAGTGCTGCCACCAGGTTTGGGCCCGACCCAGCAGGTGTTTGCGCCAGGCAGAGCAGTGAAACCAGACCTCAGGCCAGGATTGAATGTGCACAAGGAAACAGCACAGCGGGCTGGAAAACACCGGTGGGGACACCCCACCCCTTTGGCTCGGCACCAGCGTCCTCCCTGCAGCTCCAGGCACGGGCACGGGGGGCCCAGCGACTGCCCTGTGTCCCTGTCACACTGCTGGGCCCCCCTGCATGGGGCCACAGCCCCAGGGGGGCATGAGGGGGATTTTTAGACTTTGTCTTGACCAGGCTCCTGCCAGGGCTGGTCGTGCAGGCACAGCTCCTTCCTGGGCCCCTCTAATTCTTCCACTCCAAACAGTGAGAAAACTAAATCACACTCAGTAAAACTCTCCAGGCAACTGGGAAATCTACCCCAGGCCATGACTGGAGACAATCCCAGCAGCCTGGATTCCAGAGTGGAGCAGTGACTGCTCCGATCCCGAGGAAATCCTGTTCCCGATGCTGCAATGGCAGTAACTGCATTGATCGCTCCAGCTACTGAAGCAAGAGATACGTTTAAATCCCTGGGAAGAGCACTGTGGTGGCTGAAACACTGGGGCTCTAATTAACATCTCCTTATTAAGTACCATTTTCTCCTAAATTTAATTCCAGGTACCACCTGCCACTGAGCTTTTCAAGTCACCTGCTGGTGCCCTGCTCCCTTCTGCTCCTGCCCCAGGGAGAGCAGGGGGATTCCATCACCTCCTGCATCCCCATGGGAATTCATTGTCACACTCGAGGAGAGAGTGCTGGAGGCACTGCAGGATGCAGACCTTCATTCAGACCTGCCAGCACAGGCTCACCCCGTCCCAGCACAGCTCATCCGCTCTGGGGTGAGCTTATCACCAAATTTCCCAATGCCAAAGACCTCCACGGAATCCTGGGATGGGAGAAATGACCTCCCTCCACCAGAAAACTTCCCAGCTCTGTGTTAGCTTCACCCTCTTCCTTGTTCTCCCCATTCCTCCCCTACAAAAGCAACAGGTTCAAATGCTTCACCTCAAATATGGGTTTAAATGTGACATTTGCAAATTAAAAGCTTGGTGTTCTCCAGTCTCTTCCACCTCCAGCTGTTGCTGGAGGGCCTGTCTTTGGGGCCAGCAGGAAATCTGAGCCTAATTAATAAAGAGCTTAGGATAATTTGTGGTTTGGGTTTTTTTTCAGTGCAATAATAAGTTACTGAATCCCAGCCCAAATTCACCAGTCTCTCCCCAAAATCCACCCTGCAAATGCAGGTATTCCTGAGCTCCAGGTGGTGGGACGCATATAGAGATTATTTTTACCAATACTTTGACTTTTCGGACCATCTTTCATGTCCATGGGGATCTCCTGTCTCCCAGTTCAGAGCTAAATGCCAGGGCCACGACCTGCCCTCTCCTACCTTTACCCCATCATACCTGAAAAGCAGCATCCAAGAGGAATCTGGGCAGATACAAAGTGGTTACACTTTCCTGTCCTGACAGCACCCCAAAGGCCCATTCACAGGACGAGCATCAGGCAAGAAAACAAACCCTCTCTTCGTATTTCTTCCCTTCTCTGGATCCAAAATCCAGGCTGGGAGTGAAAACACACTTTGCTTAAAAATTAAAACCCTGGGAGAGCATGTTTGGGCAGTTCCTGGAAACGCCATCACACCTGTCCAATGAAAATGTGGCCACTGGGATGACTTATCATAATTAAAGATGTCTGAGTCTAATTGCTGATTGAATTCAAAGGGAATTCAGAACAGGACCCCACGTGTGTCCTACTGACACGGGGAGGCTTAAATTCATTTCTTGCAGATCCCGGAGCAGCCAAACCACAATCTGAGAGACCAGATCCCTCTCCCAGCCTTTCTCCAGACCGTCCTCTCCCTCTCTGGCTCTCCCCAGACACCCCACACACTCACCATCAGTGCTGGAGCTCCTGCCAGGTTGCCCCCGATGGCCGTGAAGTTGAAGGGAGACACGGCAGCCACGAAACCCTGAGGGGGAGGAAAGGAACCAGTGGGAGCCACCACACCCCAGTTTGGGACAAAAAGGGGAAGTGCAGCAGGTGGGAGCCCTCCCTCACCTCCAGCCCCCGGTACACCATGCTGTTGGTGCTCACGTCCACGCTCAGGGGCTGGCTCTGCTCCAGCTCCAGCGCGTACTTGGCGTTGAAGCGGAAGAAGTCGATGAGCTCCGCAGCGGCATCGATCTCCGCCTGGATCACGGTCTTGCCCTGCCAGGAGAGGCCCCAGACGATGAAGGCACGGAGGGGGGAGGGGGATGCAGCAGCAGTGCGGCACAGCACGGCCAGGTGAGCTCTGTGGGATGCCTCTCACACAGGAGCTGTGCTCAGCTCCCAGAGATGTGGCCCCTACAAGCCCTCACAAGCTGATCCTGTTCCCAGGGTGCCTGGCTCCCAGCTTCACCTTCCTCCTTTCTCTCAGCAGAGCAAGGATCACTCTGTATTCCCTCACACCTTCAGCCATTCCCATGGCCAAAAAATACCTTTGCAGCTCTGCCTGCCCTACTTCCCTGATTCCCAGCTCCCCAGATTCTCTCCTGTTCGCCCCAGCTATCCACCAGGTCCCTCCTGTATCCCCCATACCTGCCCAATCATAGTTTTGGCCAGCACTTCTGCTCGCCTGGGGCCACTCAGCATGTCAGCTGCCTTCAGGAAGATCTGGGCTCGGTCCTGGACAGGTTTCAGGTCCCATTCCTTCCTCACTGCCAAGGCAGCATTAATGGCTTTGTTAATGAGCTCCTGCAGAAAAAAGGGGAAAGGTAACGAGGAGGAACCCACCACCAGGGCAGAAGAGAAAGCGAGGGGTCACTCACCCCCAGGCACAAACCCCAGCAGCCACTGCCCCATCACAATCCCAAATCTGGAGCTCCTGGTATGGACTTGTTCCAGATCCCTGGGACTTGGAAAACCAACAGCTGCCTCTGGAGCCTCCCAGCTCACAAATGAACAGTGATTTGCATCTCACACAGGCAAAATACTGCTGCTTCCCCCTAGAGAAGGGAGGACAGCGAGATGTGCTCACCTTGCCAGCGTAGCAGAACTTGGCCACCTTGTGCGTATGGTTAAAGGGCTGAAAAGAGGAGAAAAGCCTCCATAGGTACCAGTCCAACAGCTCCTCCTTCCAGAGCTCCCCCTGCTCTGCTCTCCCCCAGACTCACCGAGAGCTGGTACCGCACGGTCGGTGTCCAAACCTCCTCCCCCCCGATCACACACGGGATCTCCTCAGTCTTGCCCTTCAGGTCAGCGAGGGCCTGAGCAAAGGCAGGAGAGCACAGTGGTGGGAGCAGCATCCAGCTGCCCTCCCTCTCCATCCATCCTCCTCATCACCCCACGAGCAAAGGGAACCTGGGAACAGGCTTCCTTTGGTCCCCTGGGTAGGGGGCGTCCATGGGCTGGAGACAGGAGTCACAACTGTCTCCAAAGGGAATGAGCAGAAACCAGGCAGGATGGGGCTTCCCTCCCCCAGGAAGAGCCTGGAGCAGCACAACCCAGGCCCTTCCAGCCCCCCAAAATCCAGCAGTGGTACCTTTTGGAGCACTGCTCGCTCGGGGCTCCCAGGTTTAAACTCGAGGATCGGCTCGTTGGTCACCTGGATGGCCGAGTGGTGCTGACATCTCCGCCTGCAGGAGGAGCAGGAATCCCTCCAGATCCCTGCTTCCCAACAGCCCAGTAACACCTTCATCCCAGTCTCCCCGGCCACACCAGTCCCGTGGTATCCCGCCTGTGCCCCATTGCACTCATAGGATGATGATGCCAGAGCCGGGAACTGAGCCTGGACATCGCCCCCGGCCACACGTCCCTTCTCCGCACTATGGAAAAACTGCTGGAAAAGGCATTTCTAAGGCACGAGGTGCAGGGTGAGCTCCGAATCGATCTGGCTTGCTCCAACATCCCAACGCTCTGCCAGCTCCCGGCAAAGTCCAGGGGGCAAAAGCCGGCCTGGCATCTCTGACCCCGCCCCAAGCAGAGCTGGACCTTGGCAGCTTCCCAACCCCACCGGGCGTTAAGTTGCCCAGCTCAGCGATAATGTCCACAAAAAGAGGGAAAAGGGGAAAAAGGGGGAGAGTGTGAAGGGAAAAGAGGAGGAAAACAAGGGGAGAAAGGGGGGCAAACTAGGGAAAACGGGGGAAACAAGGGGGAAAAGAGAAAACGAGGAAAAGGGGGAAACCAAAGGGGGAAAAGGGAAAAACAAGGGGGGAAAGGGGAAAACCAAGGGGAAAAGGGGAGAAACAAGGAGGGAAAGGAAGGAAAACGGGAGGGAAAGAGGGAAAACAAGGGAAAAGCGGGTGAAAACGGGGAAAAACGAAAAAGAAGAGGTAAACTGAGGAAAACAGGTGAAAAAGGGGAAAAGGGGGAAAACAAGGCGGGGCGAAGGGGAAAACAGGGGGAAACAGATGGAAAACAAGGGGAAACAATGGTTGGAAGCGCCTGCGGTTGGCAGCGGGATGATTCCCGGCCAGAGGGGGGATGGAAGGGCCGGCAGAGCAGCCCGAGCGGACTCCGAGCCCACACCCCGCGGGGCTCCCACCCCGCCATGCCCGGGGACACGGCCAGAAGGGGCTCGAGAGGGCTGCGGGGACCGGGGCTTTTCCCAGGCAGGGGATCGGAGGGTGGGAGCGGGAGGTGGAAGGCAGGGCCGGGACCCCGCACTCACCCGCGGCCCCGCAGCGCCCGCAGCCCCCGCCACATCCCGGCCCCGCCGCGCTGCCCGCCGGCCGCCACCAACCACCGCGGGGGCGGCGGGGCGGGGACAAAATCATTCGTTACACAATAAATTCAAAGAGGGGCGGGTAAAGGGCTTCTGGCAGAGAGGCCCCATACCCGCCCTGGCCGTGCGTGGGGCTGCCGGTGGTGCCCCCCCGAGCGGGGCGGGAATGGGGTGTCCCCACGCGTGTTCCCCCCCGCGCGGCGGTGGTTGCGCCCGGCCCGAGGGGCGGTGGCGCGGCAGCACGCGGGAGGGGGCGGGGCGTGGGAAGGAGCCAAAACCGATTAAAAAAAGAGGAATACTGAAAAAAACAACAACGAAAAGCACCTCGAGGGGAAGGAGAGGCTGTGCCCGGACGCGGGGCTCGGCGGGTCCCGGCTCCGGGAGTGGGGAGAGAGAGAAAAGCAACTTAAAGCCCCTTTGGGAATGAAAATTACCTAAAAGGGGGGGGGGGATTTTAACTCAAGGGGAATTTTAACCCAAGGGGAATTTTAACCCAAAATGGGGGCCTGGGTTGGGCACGGGACCTGAAGGAGGTTGAGGTGTGCAGAGGGTATTTTTATTTCCAATGAGAGGCATGTTTTAAGCTGAAAGAACCTAATTTTGAGGGGAGTTTGGGCTATTTTAAGACCCCAAATCACCTGGGCTGGGGGTTTTAGGGAGCGAGGATGATCCCTTTCTCCTCAGACCCAAATACTTTCACTTTCAGGATGTTTTCCACCCCAAGAATTAACACACAGAGCCATTAACCAGGAGTTTGGTGTTTATTTTATAGTTTTTTGTGTTTTCCTCGTCACCAGAAAACAACTGGGACCCGTTTCATAGACAAGTTCCCACCCTGCCTTCGCACAGAGAAGCCCGTGGGGGTCTGGCACTGAGAGATGAACCAGGACGGAGGGATGGAGACGGGATGGGGACCTGGAGCAGAGCGTGGAGAGCCGGCCAGCAGACCTGGGAGGGCTCGTGGGGTTGGTTTTGGCACTAAAATAGGAAAAACGGAGCAAATCTGCTGAACTCAGAGGAGGGCGAACGGTCCTGGCTCTCCCTGTGGGTGTTTTCGGGCTCCTGATGACAAAGATTCGATTTTTAAAGCGTTTAATGGTCCAAAATCCATCATCAGCAGGTTTGTCTTGTACCATTTGGTCTCCCCAGCACAGCCTTCCAGCCACATCCCGACTCCAGAGTGTGGGAGCTGGTTCATCCTTTGGCCTTCCCCTGCCACAGCTCAAATAGCATCACCAGTCCAGTCTTTTTTCTTTAAAATTAGCTAATATACAGAATATAAAGCACAATATTTACAAGTGGACGGTATCCAGGGGCATTTCCACACGGATCAGTAGTCTGTTGTCATGGGTCTAAAAGAAATTCATAGGTGACCTAAGAGGAACTGACAAGAAGTGACACAGCACGAGAGAGAAGAGTCATCAATACCCTCCACTCCAGCACGATAAATAATAAATAATCATTTTTGGCAGAACGTAGCTACGTACACTTTACTCACAGTAAGGTGTTTTAAGGACTGAATTGTGTGTCTTGGTGAAACCACAAAAAGTGTGTTTAGTGACCAGGATTTAATCATCCTCAACCCTTTCTGATAAAATAGAAATTTAGGATTTTGGGGGTCAACAGCCTGGGCAGCCCCACTAGGTAGGTGGCAATGTGGTCCTGGGTGTTCTTCCACAGGAATGACACAGGTTTGAAGCCACCCCAGGGGTTTTTTTAAGTATTATCATTATTTACCACAAAAATGGAGGTGGCCAGACCCAAAAGCACCACTTTCAGAAGTGCTTCACTGTTGGAGTGCCTCAAATCAGGAGGGAATTGTGATTTCTACAATCAAGTACCCATTTCTTAAACACAGTTTGTTGCTTCTTCAAAAGAGAAGCTCTGAAAAGCTCCTGCAAATGCAGAAGGGTCTGAAGACACTGAACTACACACAAAAACAGACAAAAAGAAAGAATCAAGTGTTTCTTCACTACTCTGCCAAAGGCTTGTTCAAGCCCTCAGTGTTCCCCCTCCAGGGGAGAGGGGCTGGGACTTCATTCCCATGAGGAATGTGGCAGGCAGTGCTTCCAGCTCACCTCTAATCCCAACGTTATTAACACCAGGACAACACTTGTTGCCTCACTGGACAACTTTGTTTCTCACTTAAAACTCCAACTGACACAAGTTACATTCCACTAACAGCTTAAAATCAAACATTTGGGCAACAACACTAAAGGCAAAGCATTTAAAAACCTGTGTGTTCCCCTGCAACCAATCCTGGACCAGTGCAAAAGAATAAAAATCCTGAAATCCTAAAGCAAAAAAGTGGAAAATCCTCATCGAGGTGTTCCTACACCATGGAAGCACTAAGATGTCTTAATTTGGGATAAATCACTACTTAAACATTCAGCTCTAAAATGAAGCACTCTCAAACATGAAACAGAGCCTTCCCAGTGCTGCAGTTCTTCCAACACAAACATCCTTCCCCGTTTTCCCAGAGCCAAGGGAAACACCAGGACGTGGCTCTGTGAGCACCCACCAACTGCCGTGGCTTTTCCCCAGTCAGGCCTGGATCCAGGAGCCAACTCGTGTTTTTGCTGGCAGGAATGATTATGGAAATAAAAATTAATATAATCTCATTTTAGAAGCAGCTTTAGATCCATATTCAGGCACAATTCAGATCTGTCATTTTGTTTCATTGAGTTAATCCCAATTTATACAGGAAGTTAAATATAATTTGTTTTCCAGCCTGGCAGAACACAAACCCAGGCTGGGGCTGACTTTTGTCCTGGGATTTAGGGGCGCAAATGGAGGCCTTGACCCTTTCCAGCAGGATCCTCACAATCAGGGGAAGGGAATAAAATCACAGGGAAAAGCAATAATTCTGCAGTGGCAGAAAGGCTGTTAAACTGCTGTTTTCTCCCCAAGGAAGCGACAGGTGAGTGCTCCACAGTTCCCATTGTTTCCATGCTTGGGAATTTGGGAGTCCCATCAGAGTAGAAGAGACTTGACAAGGGAATAATTGCATTTGCTAACAGAATTCTGTTTGCACTTTAAAAACCTCTAATAAAAATAGAATATATACTGTGTTTTTATAAATAGATTACACATTTAGCTTAGATGAGTTTCATTACATTCCCTCCCAACACATATCTTTTTTTAAGTAATTTTGTTTTTTTCATTGTGTGAACTAATATGAGCATCACTAAGTCTTTGAAAAAAATGTTTGTGCCACATTAAAACATTTGTACCACATTATTCTTTGGACATTTTTGAACAACATGCATCCACAAACTGCCATGTGTTTACTGAAAACATTTTTGTACAAACCCATTTTAGGAATTTGATCTATTATTACACTGCTAATGAGCAAAAAAATTTGCTTCCTTGAAATCCCCTTTTAAAAAATGAGAAACGATGAGGAGGATTTTCTGATTGTAAGTCTAAAAAAGTGTCAATATGACACCGTATTAAGAATAGAAAACAAAAATAAAGTATTTACAGCTTTACAAAGGAAAAAGAAAGAGGTCATCCAAATCATTTCCAGCATTTTCACAATTAATTGTTTTTTTTCTGGCAAGCTTTTGATCTGGTTTTTAGAGTGGTGATACACACACAGAGCAGGACCAGCTGGACACTAAACCAATGACCTCCCAGGAAAACTATCAAGGATCAACCCCTGTAACTCCCAAGTGGTTGATCCAGCCTAAACGAAAATAAACCCCCAATCCCAAGTATGAAAACACCTTTTCTTCTTTAAAAATGGATTATATATGGATATAAGAAACAGACACCACCAACCATGGGAATCTACTGTCCTACACATCACCATCATCCACATGATTCCTAAACCCTCTACTACAGCCCCACACCCCCTACACCGACCCTACTACAGGTGCTCCTCGGCACTGTGCCTGTGGGTAACTGGACTTTACACTTGAATTCCTGCTTCCTCACTGTCCAACTGAGGATATTCCCATTTTCCCCACCCTCAACACACCAGCTCCTAGTTTTGGGAACACCCAGCCTTCCCTGTGAGGACTCTGAGTTTTAAAGAAAAATAACAACCTCACCCCAAACCAGCAGCGAATCCCGATGGCCCTTACAAATGCTGGATTTTCCAGTGCCAAGGAGCATTCCCTAATTTCCCTAATTGAGGGGAGCCAAAGGCAGCCTCCAGGGTTCACTGTGCAAGGACAGCTGAGCAAAGCCTCCCCCACAGTCACTAAAGCATCACAGACATCCAGCTTTGGCAGAGCTTCCTCGGCCTCAGGACAAACTCCTCAGTAGCAGCTGAAGTTCAAACAGGCTTGAAAACCTTAAAATTACTGATTTACAACATGCAGTCCCAGCCCCCTCAAAAAGTACTCCCTCTGCAGCCTCCCACCCACCCCCCAGCTTTCAGCCCTATGAACATGACATTTACCACTTTGGCCACCTAAGGAATAACAGGAATGAGCACTTTGGAAAAAAGGTTTCTCTTCCAGAGAAAAGTTATCTACATTTACAGGCTTTGGAAAGCCCCTCCCCCACACCACAGGACCCAAGGAGTTGCTAACTACTCTGTGAGTAATTGCACTGAGTATTTCCATCAGTAAGGACACCACAAGAACATCCTTGGATCTACTTTCACGGGCAGAAGCCGTCAGCTGAGGATGGTACCCTCCACATTGTGGATCCAGATGGATCATCCCAGTCCTCCTCCCCACTCTGAAAAACACAGGGAGCCCATTTAGATCCACATGGCCTAAAGGCACCACCATTCCAAGCAGGAGATGGATCTGAGGGCGACGAACTCCAGGCAGCAACACAGGAAACTCAAAGGAGAAAACATTCCTGTATCCACAGTTCCAGTGCAACAGAAACCCTCTGAGGTGCTGCCCCTCTCCATGGCCACACAAGACAGAGCAATTGCTGCCCAGGAATGAGCCATTTTCCAAGACACTTGTGCTCTTAATGGAATTAAACAACATTGATCTATACTGGCTGTTTGCTTACTATGCAACTCCACTGATCCCAGATCAATACACCAGAGAGGCTTGGAAATGATGCTCAGGAAGCTACAAAGATTGGCCAGTTTACCTTTCCACAACACTGAGAGGGTGCTTAAATCAAGATTTTCCCTGTCCAGTCCTAGCACTGCTCCTACACAGCAGTTTCTAAGCTTCCTGGCAGGAAAAGCAAATACATTTGGTGTTTACTCCAAGTCTTACAACCGCTAGTTAAGTCCAGAGTTAGCTTTAGGCAGTATGAACTACTCTTTCAGTCTTGGTCTAAAAACAAAGAAAAATTATTGGCTGAGGTTTATACCCTGTTTTTACCTGGCTGAGGTGCTACAATTCCCATTATAACCATGAACAGATTAATGATGTCAGAGTTTCCTCTACCACCACCAAGGGATCCGACTTTCGATGCTGCTTCTCCTGGGTAAAAATACAGAGACAAAGCCAAGGTCTTCCCACTTTCTCACAGACAAAGCACATGGCTGTTCCTCCCTAATTCCAGGGCAGCAGCAGCCTAGGATTCAGTTTACTATGCCCTAAAAAGGATTACAGTGTTTCCCAATGTTCAGTTTCCCTGAAGAACAGTGGTCTGCAACTCTCCCAGTCTCATGTCTCCAGCCTCCATGTATATCAGTTTATCCCGGTGCTTCAACTCTAAACATCATGAAAGCGGCATAAAATGGAGTTATCTCCCTGTCAGCAACAGAAGATTTGCAAACACCAAAAAAACCCCTGAAAAAAGACACAAACCAACACGGAACCGAAGGGCTGATTCCCCTCCTGATCCAACCATTGGAAACAAAGGCATTGTAATATGACATTCCACCTCGAAAGAAGCTCTACAGACAACTAAGTGTGCAAATGTGGGTTTAGCTTTCTTTTTCCCAAGAGATAACTGTAGCCCAGCAGGGACCAAACATTCCATATAAATAAGGCGAGCATTTTTTGTTTTTGCATAGTAGTTTATCAGTGATAGTTCCCCCCACTGACACCTCCTTTGTCCATCTGCTTTGCCACCGAGCTGAGACCTGTTTCTCCAGGTCCTGGAGTCCAGCAGAAAGCCTGGACACGTCTCAAAGGCTCCTTCACCCCCAAAGATGGAATGAAGAAACTCCTTTTAATCTTGTAGAGCTGCTTACTGCTAAGAGCTGTCCCTAAATCTGCTGTTATTTTTAAATGTTAGTTCAATTTGGAGGCAATTCTTTTTTTGTGCCAGACATTGGTGATTGCACTAGAATTGTCTTGGGTTTGCTGCTCTTTTTGCCAGTGTTCCTTTTGCCCATCAGTGCAGCAGCTCAATAAAACCAGCAGCTTGTTGAAGTACCCAGAGCCTTTGCAGCACCATTCTCTGCTGCTTCCAGCTTTGCATTTTTTAAACAATGTATTTTATAAAAACACCTGCTAATAATATTCTACTGGAGCTCAAAGTGGCTCAGCTTGGGGCAAAGGCACAATTAAAACCCCGTGTTCTCTTACAGGACTCTGCATTTATGGTTTGTAGAACAATAGAAATTTACAGCACCAATCCTTGGGTGGGGTGGGGATGCGTGTAGGAATGAGTCCTTAGAGACTTGCAAGGGCTTGCAAGTCTTTCATCTTTCCTCCATCAATGTGTTGGGTTTGAATCTTTTCTTCCATCTTCGCCTTCACCAAAATGCTCCAACTTTGTATCAGCTGACCATGGGCTCCACATCCGTTTCTCTGTCCAAATCATCCTGAATTTCATCTGTGTTTCCTGAGTCACTGCTGGCTACAGAGCTGGGAGATGGAGAATTCCTGCAGAAAAATGCACAGAAAGGTTCAGACAAAAAAATTAAATACCCATGACAGAAGGAAAAAAGAGAATGTTTAAAGAAAATAGTCACTTTCACTTCCCAAAACTATTTAAAAAAGCACTTTTTAACATTAAATATTTGGTTTACAGTAAATACCAACAGTAAAATTAAGTTGCCACACCACTTATCTCCTATACAAACAAACATAAAGGCTGCCATAGGGTTACTGATGGAGAAATGGAAACTAAGTCTCTTAACAGAGACTCTCATCATCCCTAATATGTGCAGTCTTAAAAATTGAAAGTTTATCATCTTATTCTACTGGGCATGAGCAAGAGAGAAGAAAAATCCCTCATAGTCTAAGGTTCTTAACACATGAGAAGATTGAAACCTGAGTTCTTCATGTAAGTCCACAGTCAAGATTTAATTTGGGCTTTTAAGAGTTCTAAATCTAAGATGTTAAGACTAAAAGTTAGAGATCCCTGTTCTTACCAATAGGTGCCAAATCCTTAAAGGTGGCACAATGTGTAGGACCCTACATACTCTTACAGGCTCCCTTTAAAGCTGATACTTGACCCTGAACAAAACAAGATTATCCAAAGGACAAAGAGACAAAATGATACTGTTGCCTTTAAACTTGGCAGGAACCCAGAGGGAAATAAATTCCTGGAGCCCCCCAGGCAGAGGGGTAATGCCTTGTTACCTGTCAGCTGAGCCTTTGATGAGCCTCCGACAGGTTTCCATTTGGACATCCAGGCCCCTTTTCATGCTGCACATTTCCATATATTCATGAAGGTGGCGATTCATGTCACTCTTGGCTGTGGCTAATTCCAGCTGCAAAAGGAAGGGAAAATAATCAGCCTAAAGTTGAGTGGTAGCTCTTCCCAGTTTCAGTCCATTTTCCATACTGGTGGGGATGCTACAGCTCCCAGAGCCAGGCCAAAACAAACCCCTAATATACATTTAATCTCACTGTTCCTTATTGCCAATGTATTCCTCAGCTCGTGAAGTGCAATCAGGGCTCCACACTGTTTTTTAAACAGCCCTACAGTTTTTTTCTGCTGCTTGGCATCTTGTTTGTCAACATGCAGTAATTAATGAAAGCATATTGTAGGCAGGGCAAGGATTTTGAGAAGCTACAGCTTGCAACCTGTGAAACATTTTCCAGGTTGAGGGTGGATATACAAGACAAAGAGGGGAAAAAGAATAACAGTGTGTTTTATTCCCTTTGTTCTGAAGGTTCTGTCTCTACCAGCCTCAGATTTATGCTCAGTGCTAAAGTATGGAGCAATAATGGTATAAAGAAAATCCCCAGGGGATGTCAGAGGGAAATGCCTTTGCATTCTTAGATATATAGACATTCCTCTTTCCCTCTGGGATACACCAGAGCAGAACACCGGGCATGTCTGCATCAATTAGGAACCATTTCTATTGTCATGATCCCTTTCCTTACCTCTATCTGCCCTATTGTTTCTTGGTATTCCTTGTCTCTTGTTTTAAAGAAAGACTCTGTTTCATGGATCAGGTTTCCCAGGTTTTCTTCCTGCAGGGGGGAAAGGAGGACACAAAGAATCAGCAAGGAACAACAAAGACTTCAGGACTTAAGATTTTATTTAAGCTCATCTAGAAATGCAGGTCATGCTCTTTCATGCAAAGATTTCTTAAAGACATTTTCACACAGAGAAGGAATATTCTGCTTCTTCAAACTGGAATACTGGGAAACACATTTTTGTGCCACGACCACGGCTTTGGACACACAAAGATAAAGTCTGATCAAGGCTCCAGCAATTAAATCCATATACCTGGTGCATTCCAAAGCACCAAACCCAAGGATTTTCCTCAGCTTTTCACAGTCTGATCACACTTGGACAGACTGTAGCTGCTCTCCAGCCATGAAACTAAATTTTTCCTTCCATTGACCACATTGCTACTTACAGCTTTGCACTGGAATTCTCATTTTCCAATGACATATTATTACTCTCCAGCACCTCACAGGTATGCTCAGCACGCACTGCTTCCCATTGAAATTCCTCCCTGCACTGCTGGATAAAGCCAGTTCACTCCTGGGGAAATACTACACCCAGGACCAAATGCTGTCCCAAAGGAAACCTCCTGCTCCTGGATCATCACTGCTCTGCACTGACAGTACAGTCTGTACTACAAAACACAGACCTGGTTTGTGCTGTCACAAAGAGAATGTCATTTTTCTCTCTTTCAGGTTATTACCTGCCTCTGTATTCCACAAAAAAATTATCATCAATTTAATGCAACTGCACTGATGGGTGTTAATTATGTTTCCATCCTCTGGTCACATTTGTGACAGATTTATTGGGATCGTTCCTGGTACCAACACCAGGCTATCCAGCCTGGAGTTACAAGAATCATTGCACTGATCCTTTTATATTCAGAAGAGCTTTAAGGAGGAAGGTCATAAAAGAAGGTGGTGAGGGCAGCATGTAAGAACTTGAAAGGAATAAAGCCCACAGAAGGAAGATTCAGGCATGTAAAGCACATGTTAAAGACCAGGCACAGCCGGAGCAGTCTTTATTCTGAATTTCCATCTACAAGCAAAATCTACCCTTTCCTTGTATAATTTTCATTTAGAAGGATTTAAGCTTCTTAAAATCTTTAGAGTTTCCACACATAAGGCTGGGCTCGGCCCCATCCCTGTGATAGCTCAGACAGCACAGGGCTCTATGCAAATCAGCCTGTCACTAATTCCAGCACAGGCTCCACATTATCACTGCCACTCTCCCCGCTTTCTGCAGCTCCAGCACTTCCCCTAATCTCTGCAGTCTCCAAGTGTACAGCTGGTCACAAACGAGAGATGTATCATTAACACACCCCGGCAGGCACCACCAGACAATATTCCTGAGACTGCTGCCTCAGCACCTCCACACCCCAGTGCTGATGGAAGGCTGCAGGATTATTTCTCACCTCCCACCACTGTGCTACTCAGTAATGAAATACCAGCTTCCCATTCCAGCCTTCCCTGGCCATTTCCATCCTTCTTTAGGCTTGTTTAAAAAGGAGGCAGCACATACAGCCATTAGCTGGCTTTCTGTGGGATCTTAAGGATTAAAAGCAAGCTGTTCATTATCCAGCAGATTCCTATTGACTGGGAAGAGGGAAGCACGAGACTCACAGGCTCAGAAGACCCGTGGGGCTTTATGGAGTCCTGCAACCACAGCTCCTTTGTTTGGGGTGGGAAATACATCCTTTAACATCTTCCTCAGACCACACTCAGGTTGTTTTGCTCCCCACAAGGCCACTGTGCAATCCCATCCCCTGTTACACATTATTTTAAAAATTAAAGTGTGAATGATAATGTACAAAGTGAGATGCTGTGTGGAAGATCATTGAATCCCAGACTGGTTTGTGTTGGAAGGGACCTTAAAGCCCAGCCCATCCCACCCCCTGCCATGGGCAGGGACACCTCCCACTAGCCCAGGCACCTCCAAGCCCCGTCCAACCTGGCCTTGGACACTTCCAGGGATCCAGGGGCAGCCACAGCTTCTCTGGGCAACCTGTGCCAGGGTCTCCCCACCCTCCCAGGGAGGAATTCCTTCCCAATATCCCACCTAAACCTCCTCTCTGTCAGTACTGAGCTTTAGAGAACGGACTGCTCAGGGTGACAGATTCCCTGATCTCCTGCAACAGCCACACACTGGGATCTTTTGGCACTCACTTCGACAATACCTTCACATACTCAGTTTGAAGGGGCCAAAGAAATGAAGTTTGGCAAATAAACTGATTGCACAGACTGAAAAATCAACCATGGAGAGAAAGCACTGAGAGAATTTTAAAACAAAGCAAGTTTATGTGGCAAACAGGTCACCAGTGAAATATCCGCAGGCTCAAACGGCTGAAGCAGCAGCTGAGGGATAGTTTCTGCAGGGAATATTTGGAGAAAATAACAGGAACTCACCTCTCCTTGGAGGTCGATTGAAGGATTGCAGTTGGTGAAGTCCTCCCAGAGCAGCAGTGTTTCCTCATTCTCCTCCCATGTTAAACTATCACAGTCGTCATCAAAATCAAATGTCTCCCGTCTGTGAGAACAGACCCAGCATTAATGAAAGCACTCCAGCTCCACTCCCTCAGTCCTTTAATTAATTGTCTAGAAAAATGGGCTATGAGAGCTGAATGAAGGGGACAATGCAGCAGCTGAAAATCCTCACAGCTTTTACAAACAGGCTTTGCCACTGTCCAAGTCCCTCTTTCCTGGGCTCTTTGCCACCCAAAGCAGAATAAAAGATCCTTTTTGGCGCTGCTGCTCCGAGCACACAGCCCTGGCTCTGACCTCCAGATGGAGCTACACAGTAGTTTCCCCTGTTTGCAAAACCACAAAAATGCTTGAAACTATTCTTTTTATCCATGGGAAAACGAGCCCAAACACAGCACGAGGAATTTTACAAGGACCAGGCACCAGAAGACTCTGTGATTTCACGAGGGAGTTCAGCCAACGTTTTCCCTGCAGCACTTAAAAATGTGTTTTTCCAAAGCAAAACATCACTTTCAAAGGCAAAATATCATTTTCAAAAGTAACAACTATGAAAAAAATGAACCTTGAAGTGATGTGCAGGTGAGCATAAACACTCCTTGTTCACTGGAACAATGAAAATACAAGTACAGCCACTTCAGACTGAGAGCAAACAGTGGCAAGAGTGACCTTTCACACTGCTGTTTGCTCAAAACCCTTTAGTTGTGCAATAAAGGAAAGTTTCAGAGGGGCTGGAACAGCAGCAAAGCACAACACCAGTAGCTGTTTCTCATCCTGGCTCAGGAGCCCCGACGAGAAGCTGAAACTGCTCCTGACCCAGCCTGCTGGTCTCAGACTGATGCATTTTTAGTACTTTAGCTCACTTCCTTCCACACAGATAACATCTCAGGCAGGCAGGAGAGCCCATACTGTCCTTAGGAGGCTGCAGAGCTTGGCAAGAGACAGGCAAACGTTTGGCTACAGTCAGCATGACAGGAAAAAAATCATTTAAAAAACCCCAGCAAACTTGTACGTTCATGATTGTGCCTTTTACACTCAACTTCCTCAAATGAGTTTCTTTTTGCCAGATCTGTCCTGGTCAGAGAGCACAGAGGCTCCCAGGCTGACTTCAGACACACACACTGCTCAAAACCCACTGCAGTTTGACTCTTTTACTACCAGACACTTACAGATTAAGTTCATTACACAGGAAATGCAAGTTGCATTGTTTCTGTTACTGATATAAACTTCTCATTTATTTCTAAACTATTATTTTCTACTTCACAAAGACCCCAAGCCCAGACTCCTCAGCAACATACATCCCCAATACCCAGCCCAGGTTAAATATATCCACGAGATTCCTGTAGTACTCTGTGCCATATAGGACCAAGAGATAAGAATTTCATGAGCAGCACTGGTATCACACGACAGGGTTAGCAACAAAATTAAAAACTAAATGCATGACCAATCCAGGTACATTTTAGCTTCTTGCTTTTCTAAAAAGTCCACTCACTACCTGCAGTCACACTGAATTTAGTAGTGGAGAAGTTAAAAATCTGTATTTATTGCACTGACTATTACTGAGGGACTAAAGACATGTAAAATGAGTCCTAACAAGGGAAATTATCTACAACTTTTGCAAAAAGCATGCCCTTCCACACAGTGAATTGGGGCAGAAAAGAGGAGACACTCCCTCTGAAAACAGAACTCTTGGCAATGTCTGACAACAGAAGAGGAGCTGATGCTTCTTGGACCATTCCTTGTGCACTCCTACACATGAAATACAGCCCTACATTGTGTGGGAAAGCACTGGGAGTTCTCTGCACTCACTGCACAAGTTGGCAGAAGAGACCCACATTCAAATGCTGGGGAAATCAGACCTATGGTGCCTCCTGGGGCTTTTCTCTGCCAAAAGAAAACAGCAGAGACCCCCAGAAGTCTCACTAGGCTGTGGCCACCTCCATCCTACCCAGAATGGGAGAGGAGAACACAAGGCACATCAACAACCACCCTCCTGAACTGCTCCGTGCAGCACCAACATACAGAGAATCCCTTCTTGGCTGCTAAAAGCTTCTGAACACTGCGGTTTGGGGCCAAGCTTTAAACAAAAGAAACTCCAGTTCTTCTAGTTTAGAGCAACAGACTTTGCAGCACAGCTGACACTATCCACATTCCTGAAATCTATGAAGTGTTGTCCACTGCTAGAACTGATCTTCCAGACAGATCCACCACTCCTACATGCCTACAGCTCAACTGAAAAATCATCCAAAATACTGGAGAAGTTTGTATCCATTTCAAATTGAGCTTTCAGTTCAAACTGAACTGCCAAATAGCAGCAAGTTTCTTTCCAAACCTTTAGAAATCCAATATTCAGCCAAACATACAGAATAAACTTCTGGGTTTTACTCTTTTTTTGTTTCATGTTTCTTCTTTTGCTGCTGTTATAGCAACATGTAGTAGCAAAACCAGTTGTTTGTATTTTTTATATTCTCTGCAGTTCTCCCTATTTAAGGGAGGAACAAAAATCAGGTAATTTTATTTGAACTTCCAGAAAAGCTCCAGGCCTGTGCCATGGTGGCAGCTCAGGTGTTCTGGGGCCAAGCCTGCATTTGAGAAGGGTTTTTGCCCAGGGTACTCACAGCTGGTTAAACATCCTCTTCATTTCATCTGTGATGTTGAGGGAGCAGCTGACCTCGTCGTCAGAGAATCGCCCGTTGTCCCCGTCCTGCTCCGACAGGTCGTCGTCCGACGGGAGCTTGCGCTCCTTCTTCTTGGAAGCCACCTGAGTTGGAGAGAGGAGCAGTGACTACTAGGTTCAGCTGAGGAGGGTGTGGGAAATACAGGCGTGGAAGTAAAGGAGAGGCATTAGGATTGAGTGGATACAACTGTCCATCAGTTCCCAGGCAGGTCAGGGATCAGGAATAGCGTCTGCCAAGAGAGGTGAACACAGAGCACAGGGAAGCAGTTCAGAACAGAGCAAAGCAAGCTGCAGGCTGCCAGGGCTCTACAGATGTTCATCTGCTCATCTGGGATCTACCAGAGGACATGCAGAGGTTGGAATGATACAGGAACAAGCAAAAGCTGGCAGCAGTGCCCAGGCAGAGAGCAGTGACAGAACTCTCCCTCTCCTGCCACCACCACAGGCTGTTGCCTCCAGTGTTGAACCACCAGGAAGGGACAGACATGAAACCTTTCTAGAGAGCCTTTAGTTCAGGGTCATCCCCACCCCATCAGCAGACGCAGGCTGAGAATCTTCAGGCTGACAGAAGAAGGGTTGGATCAGTCAGGAAAACGCCTGGACAGCCCCAGAGAAATGAGGTTCAGAGAACTCAAGGGACACTCCTGCAAGGGGCACAGAGGATCTGAGGCTGTGAACACAGAGGACATTCACAGCTCGTGCCACAGAGTCACAAACACACACTCCACTGCCAACCTACTGCAGTTTTTCCTCTAATGGGCATTTAGACCATCCCTTATTGGCCTTGTTCTCCAGGGTATTGTTCTCCTGATCATTTTAACCCCTGCATGGCTGACCAAAAGTATGTCCTGCAGGTACCTTGAAGCAGAAAGACTCAGCAACTCTACTCAGAGACAAGAAGGAACCACAATGCAGTGGCTCAACATGCCATAAAAAAACTTGTCTTCTATTAGATTTGAGTCTTTCGGAGTACATAAGGAAAAAAAACATCAAACGTTCAGGCAGCTTCATTAGTAGAGACCACAAGGACCTTTTACAGTGGGTTTGGACAGCATTTGGCACATTGTGGCATCGCTATACAGAGAAAAGCATCAGATTTATTGAAAGATTGAACAAGACACTTTGAGATGGAAGTAGAAGGAAGGTGGATTAATCACAACTGAAATTGCAGTTGGGACAGAAAACCAACTGCACTGGGAGTTTGCCCCAGGCAGAGCTGTCACAGCTTTTGGAGCAAATTAAATTACTTTCCTTCCAGCACCAAGGAGCCCCAGTAGCTCAAGGAAAGCAACTGGAGCTTCTGTCTCACAGAGCAGCCAGAGAAATGTTATTTCTGGCCACGGAGCTCGAGCCAGAAATAAGAACATTCAGATGACAGTTCTACAAGCTTGAAATCTCTCACTTGTGAAAGGAACAAATGTGAGGGAGTAATTTATACAAGCCTAGACCCTGTAAGGCTGCTTTTTATTCTTGCCCTGCATTCATTGCAGACTAACATCAGACTTATGTCTTAAAGGTCATCCTGAGACTTTTTTATACTCTCTCCATTTTGTGCTCTTAGTGCTACAGCAGGAGAGCTACACTGCCAGACCCAGAGAGGAAAATATGTCTGTAAAGAAAAATTTCAAGAAAGGCAAATGACCTGGACCACACTCCTCAACACTGGCTCCCTCTTGCCCTACCCTGTGGAAAATTCATGGCCTAATCACCTGGAATATCTTGGAAACGTCTTCCGAGTTGCGCTGCTGTGCGACATCGCACAGCTTGGCCGTGATATCGATTCGGCGGCAGATGTCCATGTCCACCTTCATGGCCTTTTCTTGGATCTTTGTGTCCAGGTCTGTCATGGGCTGCAGGAAGGACAGCAGTGATTATCCTCTATTATTATACAGTTCAGGAAAGAAGAGATACCCCTCAGTATCTCTCTAACCCCAGGTCAACCTCATGGACTGACAGCTGACAACCAACATTCATGCCTGATGCTAATTCCTCATAGGGATTTGCCACAAAAAAACCCTATACCCACCCCAAAAAACCTGCTAATGAGGCAACAGGGAACTTTTATGGGTCAATAACAGGTTGTAACAATGGAACAGGTTGCCCAGAGAAGCTGTGGCTGCCCCATCCCTGGAAGTGTCCAAGGCCAGGTTGGACAGGGCTTGGAGCAACCTGGGCTAGTGGAAGGTGTCCCTGCCCATGGCAGGGGGTGGACATGATGATCTTGCAGGTCCCTCCAACCCAAACCATTTTGTGATTCTATAAATAACACTTTAAAAATGGAGAAAACCCCTGTGTAGCACGTGCAGAAGAGAATGAAATCTAAAGCCTGGTGAGGATGCAAAGCTTCCCCTCTTTCAAACAGAAAAATTGTGCTGCACAGAGAAGTTGCTCTTAAATCAGATTCAGGGTGAAGCAACTTTACACATACCACAGAGTCATCAAATCGAGGCTGGATCTGAAGAGATCCGTGAGAGCCTGTGACACGGAAAACACTCCTTCCTCTCTGGCATTACCCTGCCCTCCAGCCTGGCAAAAGTTTAATATTGCCCTGCTTCACTCTGGGTAGTTACAAACACAATTTATAAGAGATACTCCCACTCAGACAGTACATCTGGCTCCTTAGGAAGAAACATTCAAAAACCCCACAAAGCAAATTTTCCAGCCTAGTTGAGACTTACTCTGTTAGAAAGTCCCACTTCAATGGCCAGGCAAAGCTTCCACTTGGACCAGAAAAGCAGGAAAAACTTTTTAAATACTAAATCCCCTTTCTAAGGGGAAAGCTTTGGGGGTTTTGTTGGTCTGGTTGTTTTTTTCCTCCTTTTTTAATTAAATTATTACTCGGTCTTCTCCAGCCCCTGTCAACCACCTTTAGAATTAGAGATTTTTGTTTTCCAGAACACACTGAGGAAAAGAAATCTCTAAACACTGACACACTCAAAACAATCTTATCCATTGAACAGGTACCAGTGATTTATCCATAGGAAAGCAAGAGCCACGTGCCAACATTTTGCATTTCTCTGCTCTAAATATTTACCCAGTGAGATTCAAAGCAAGCATTCACAGTGCTTTCCCTGGGCTTTTTTTCCTCCCTTAAGAGTTTGTAAAGCCCAAAGGAGGATGTTTGCCTTCACCACCACCCTTTTTGTACACACGGAGCAACGTTTGTTCCTCGGTGCAAAAAGTCCTCCCAGGGATGGAGCCCCAACCAATTTCTCCCTTTCACACCCTCCAGCCAAGCACAGCCATCCTCGATTAAACACCAAAAGAAGAGCCAGCTAATTGCTGGATTTCACATAAACACATCCAGTGGCCCAGGGAGAATGTATTTGACACTGGGAGCAGGTTCTGCAGGTTTATATAAAGGCAGGAGAAGGCAGTTAGATGCAAAATTACAGAATAAATAAGCGTAATAGGATTTATTCGTTAGACAACTGGCACCAGCACTACTGTAGACTTCCAGAGAAAGGCACCTTAATGTTCACCTGTTTATCTCTCTAGATACCTGCATGAGTACATGATTTCACCAGGCCTAAATGTCAGAAAATTATTCAGTCACAGCCTAAAAGACCCTCTGGCTTTGAAGGGAGGTCAATATCTAAGGAGACGTGAGGAAATTCCTTTGAAAACCAGTCTTTTTTCTTTTTCTTAAACCATTAGCTTGAAGCAGCACAAAGCTAATACCTGACCCAGGGATATTGGATTCTTCTCTTCAGAGCTTTCATTAAAGGAGATTAAACCCACATTCCTCCCTGGGAGGGTGGTTTGGCCCTGGCACAGGGTGCCCAGAGAAGCTGTGGCTGCCCCATCCCTGGCAGTGTCCAAGGCCAGGTTGGACGGTGCTTGGAGCAACCTGGGACAGTGGAAGGTGTCCCTGCCCATGGCAGGGGGTAGGATGGGATGGGCTTTGAGGTCACTTCCAACCCAAACCATGACTCTATACAGTGTATTCCTTTAGGAATAGGATTTTCTTGGATAACTCAGACCCAACCCCCCATGTCAGCAGCACATGGAGCTGCACAGTGTTGACCCCTTTGTCCTGACCTGGGAGTTCTCCAACACTTTTCTCCAGGGCTGCAGCTCTGAATGCTGGCACTGTGGAGAAGGGGAAGGGAGGGAAGAGTCTGGGTTATGGGCTAAGCAGCAAGTTAATGCATCTCTACACAGACCAGACAGGAAGCAGGGGAGGGAGATCTGTCTGATGCATTAGATCAGAGGCAGCATCACACTAATTACACAGCAGCACTCACTAATCACCTTTCCATGAATGAAGCCATTGGCATGACACACACACTCACAAAGGCAGTGGAGGGGCCACTCAGTACTTACATCACTCATCAGACCCTTAAAGACCACAAGTTCTGCTTTCAGTCTCTCAATCTTCTCATTCAACTCCTCCTGGAGAGCTTCTGCTTCCTGTGCCTCCTGCAAGAGAAAGCACAGAGAGGTGAGAGCCCAACTCAACTTACTGTGTCCAAAATACAACACTAAGAAAAACTCAGCTCCCCTGAAAATTCTTCACAGAAAATTAGACTTGATGGACCAGCTGGAATAACCCAAACCCAATACACCCGGATTAGAGGTCCAACACTATAATCAGGAATAAAAAAAGAGAGGGATGAGCCATGAAACAGCCTATACTAATGACATAATTATAACCAAGCATTTTTTAAAAGAGGCAGGTATCAATTTAGAAAAGTAAGAAGTGGGGGGCAATTGGGAAAAGGGAATAAGGAAGACCTGGCTGCAGCAAAGACTTAAGGTGAAAGCTCCTCACTTATCCTGAGCAGGCTGATAAAGCACATCACCACCCCCTCCATCCACTTTGTCACCAACTTCAGCACCTTCCTGCTCCAGCTTCCCAACTTTATCACTGTCATCTAGAGCAGCACACCCAGCTACTCTGGCTAGAAGTCAGATTTTTAGTTAAAATTTAAATTAAAACACAAATTTAAATGATGACCAGCATGATAAAACGTGCAGAAAAACTTTTCAGTACAAACTGTTCAAACCTTACCTCTCGCAAGGTTTCTACCATAGATTCCAGACTCATCCTTCTTGTCAGTTCCTCTTCCCACCTGAAAGACAAGATTTGCAGGCAAAGTGTTAATTATACAGAAAAGTATTTTCCCCCTCAAAATCACAAGTCTGAGAGATGTAGGAGATGACAGTTCTTTGAAATGTAGAGCAGATGATCTCCCCCACTTGTTCCCCCTCAAACAAGGAACACTGAGTCTGTGAGAGAATAAAAGCTAATTCCACTTCCACTGGGATCAGCATTCCTCCTGATCTCCTACACAATATGGAATCATGGAATGGTTTGGGTTGGAAGGAACCTTGAAGCCCAGCCCATCCCACCCCCTGCCATGGGCAGGGACACCTTCCACCAGCCCAGGTTGCTCCAAGCCCTGTCCAACCTGGCCTTGGACACTTCCAGGGATGGGGCAGCCACAACTTCTCTGGGCACCCTGTGCCAGGGCCTCCCCATTCTCACAGGGACGGATTTCTTCCTCATCTGTAACCTAAATCTTCCCTCTTTTAGTTTCAGTTTTAGTTGCAAATAAGGCGGGAAATTTTCAGTGCACAAAGAATCAGTTCAAGGGAAGTTATGTGAATTAGTAATCTTACTATTTACCAGTTTGTGCCATCCATTCACAGAGTCATTTGCCTTCTGTATCAAGAACCTCAATAATCTCCATGCTCCAGTCACTTCCCAGCACTGCATTGCAAGGAGAGCACTCAGACAAATTCTCTGAGGGCAGGGGATACACACTGCTGCTGCAGCAGGGCTGCAGTGGAAGAAAGGCAATCAGAGCTATAAACTGTTCAATTAAACCTCACACTACAAACATCAGCATGTTTGACTTCGTTACTGGGGCTCTGAGCAACTTGGTCTGTGGAAGGTGTCCCTGCCCATGGCAGGGGGGTGGAACAAGATGATTTTAAGGTCTCTTCCAACTCAAACTATTCTAAGATTCTACAATAATTGGATTAAGTGTTAAAAATAAAAGAACAGCTCCTTTTTAAGCACTGAAACTCCCTAAAGAGCAAAACCCAAACAACACGAATTCAAAAGCTGAGAGTCTTGAAAACGTGACAATACACATTCATACACATGGATGTGGTTGAGTTTGGGAGGGAGAGAGAAAGCAAAATGTTTGCCCTCTTTTTGAATGGGCAGTAGTGCCACACCAGACTTGCCTGGTCTAACAACAGGAATTACACACCTGGAAAAGAAACTTTGCATACCACATGATTAAAAACAACCCTGTGAACAGACTCTCCAAGTGCCATCACAATAATTTCGGTTGCCACTTCAACACTTTTTAGAGTTTAACTGAAAACAGCAAACTGGGAGGCCAGAAATCCATCAAATCAAAGCATTCTGGAAAATACAGGGTTAAGTGTGCCAAAATGCATGGATCCATCCTGTTTTCCACAGCAGCCTGGCAGTGGCTGGACTGCAGGATGTCCAGTGGAGGCTGATTTGATGCACACACCATCCCTGTGCTACTGGGTACAGCTCTGCCTCCACAGTTTTAATCCCACCTGGAATGGAAGGCAGGGTGGAAGTTTTGGGCAGGGAAGGATGTGGGCAGACTGGTGCTGGTGCAGTTTGTCTCCAGGAGCCAGAGGCACTTGGACAGGTCACACCTCCCTGGAGCTTCAAGCTGACACTGCAGCTCCATCCACTCTTCCCTGCCATTGTGGGGCAGGAATATCCCATACAACAACATGTGTAAGTTGGATTTATGCAGCAAGATTTGTTGTGCAACTTTTTACCAGCATTGATTCATTGCCAAGCAGAGTAAAATATTTATGCTGAAATTTGCATTTGTCATCAAATGTTTGAGCTTGGATCTCCATACCCTGTTTGTTTTTTTGACTACTAATTACATGTATATTCCTATAAAAATAGTAACTTTGCTTTTCAGATTTTTATATCAAAGGTAAGAAGGTGAAATTAATTAAAGCAGGCAATTATACTGTCAATCTACAAGATTCTAAGGTCTCCTTCTGTTACAGGAGAATCATTCCCCCTGTTCCTGCTGCCAGTTATGGACGGGAGTTGAGCAGACACTGCAAAAATGGATATGCTGCTTCTCAAGGTTTGAAATGTTGGAATGAGGGAGCCTGGCTGCATCCAGGTTATCCTGCTGTATTACTGCATCCTCACCCTGGTCATTCTGCAGAGGGATGTATTTTTGGAAAACATCATCTGCATATTTTTCCTGACTATGGCAAAAGTCAGGAAAAAGGATTAGCATTCCTCCCCAGTTCAGCCACTCCAGGCAGCTGCCAAGATTACACAGCTCCAAGTCTGCTCAGACTAACCTTCCCCATCCTGCAGAAATTCCAGGAGTTCCATTGCTTTGCTTTGTGCCAGTTAAAGTGCATTTTACAGAGCAGGGATTTACAGCCCTAATCCCCCTCTGTCAAACTCAAAACTTCAAGAGAAGGGGGAAAGGATGGCACCTCCTATACACCCTCCCACAGGTCCTGTGTTCCGCTTATTATAGGGACAATAAAACAATCAGACAATTTTTAACCAGAAAGTTCCTGCCTAAGAGAAGGAAATTTTCACTGGATTGATAAAAGGGGTCCTACTAACCATTAATATCATATTCTTAACCCTAGAGCATATTTCTTCCACCCACCACCAAGCTGATTAACCTCATTTAACAGCTAAAAATGCCAATCTTACTTTCTCCTCAGACTTAAACCTCGGGAGACTATTTGTAGGGAGGAGAGGAAGGAGACTGGGCAGGAAGGCAGAGGATGACAATGGAGCAGAGGATTAATTCTCCATTTAAACTTCCAAGGAAGTGAGACAATAGGAAGATTGCTCATTCCTGTGATCATCCTGTATTTGCTGGAAGACACTAGACTTTAAAGGGACCTTGGCAGCTGTGCTGCTGCACATTCCAAAAATCCAGCAGTATGGAGTCGGCATCCACTGAGAGGATGTTAGTTATGGCTCTGATGTCTTTATTATTCAACAGACTAAATTATTCTCCCAGTCATTTATATCAGTCAACACTTTTCAGTTACCATCTAAAAGGAGAAGACACTATTCCACAAGTCTTAATCCCAGCAAGCTGTGGATGTCCTCAGCTCCTTGGCAAACACGTGGGGCAGCCGAAAATGTCCAGGAAAGGGACCCGAAGCTCCTGGTGCTCCCTTCATCCCAAGGAATAGGGAAGCACCACCTGAATAATCACCTCTGCAGCCGCCAGGTAACTCCAGAGCTGGATAACGCCAGGAAAAAGGGGCATGATCAGGGACTGATCCCTGCTCTCTGTGGCTGCACCCAGGGAATGGCTGGAGCTGTGCCAGGAAGGGTCACGTTGGATCTCAGGACAAGCTTCTTCCCCCAGAGGGTGGCTGGCACTGACCAGGCTCCCCAGGGCAGTGCCACGGCCCCAAGGCTGCCAGAGCTCCAGGAGGGTTTGGACAGTGCTCTGAGGGACAGGGGGGGATTGTTGGGGTGCCTGTGCAGGGCCAGGAGTTGGGCTAGATGATCCTTGTGGATCATCCTTCCAGCTCAGGATATTCCACGACTCTGTGGTTGTCTGATGAGGACTATAATACCCAAGAGGGAAATGGCTGGAAAACCAGCAGTCTTCCCATGCTTGCAGCAGGATATTAATTCCCAGCTGCTCCCAAATATACTTATTTCTTGGCTCAGATGCAGCAATTGCAATGATTTCCAGCTGCATCCAAAAATGTTTTTTCTAACTCAGAAACGTTGCCATCCAAACCTACAGGACTTTAGGGCTTCTTATTATCTTTTCAGTTATTTCTTCTTAAAAAAAGGTTCAGCATTATGAATTTCAAATGTAACCAGGCTTTTATTCCTTCTTTACCACCTCCTAAGGATGTTTGAGCTCCAACCACCCCCAAATAAAGGGCTAGTCCGAATTTTTGGAGCCTTTTTGCCAGATGTGACACATCACATTCCGGTGGCATTCCGTCGGCATTCCGTCATCCCTTCAGAACCAGCTCCTGCTGCAGTCCTGTCTTACAGAACAAAGGATGCCGGCTCCCTTTAACGGGAAGGATATTGGGCAAACAAAACACTCGAGTAGTCAGCCAGGATTAACACTGCTTAGAGAGTGCTCTCGTAAAGCTGAGTCACACCACAAACTTGTGCTTCCTCTGATATGGGAAGAGTAGCAACCAGCTCACCGATCCCAGTATCCTCTGTAGCTCCCAGGGAAGAGATGGAGACATCTCAGGATAAGTCCCTTCAAAGCTTCTCTAAGTGTTCAAGCCTTAATGCCCATGAAATTAAACTGAACAGTTTGTGTTGACACAACAAGCTTCAGAACACTTTCTCACTCTGTGAACACCAAACATGACCATTTTCCATTCCAATGTTCCATTTTCCTTTCTCCTCTCCCAGAATTGATGCCAGTTCAGGAATACCGACCAGTGAAGGGCATCACCCACTGCAGCAGATTGGTAAAACCCCTTTGGAACGGAAAGTTTTAGAGGAGTTTTCCTTGCCAAAAAATGTTCAGTAATTGTCTTTTAAATGATTTTCAGATGTCTGGTTTGATTCAAACAACAAACAACATGCTCACAGAACACACCAGGTATAAACACACTGGTTTAAGAATGATATTGCTCAAGGCAGAAAGGCACAAGCAGAGCAGTTACCTGATGGTATCAACTGCATTATTCTTTCATTTAAAATATCCCTCAAGGAATGAAATATTCATCAGGTAATACTTAATGACAAAATATTTATTCCATAAGCAAAACTCTTTAGGAAGACAAGTCCCTTCTTCCTGGTGGTTTTATGGAGAGTCATGGAGAGGAGAAAACTTCCAAAGGGAACAAGAGGATATTTTTATAGTGGTCTAAGCATCTCCCCTGCCACTTTCTCATGTGCTGACTGAAGCTTTTCACTCATTTATTGGAGTGTCTTCCCACCAGTTTATGGAGAGAGGAGCAGCAGCAGACAGGAAAGCACTCCAGAGCTGTTAGGTGTAAGTCCACAACAGGAAACTAAAGTGTTAGTTCGAGCAATAATTATAAAAGGCTCACAAAAACATGACCAAGTCATGATACC